ATAACCCCAAGGTCCAGGGTTCAATCCCCATACTGGCCAGCTGCCGAAGAAGAAAAGAAAAGGGGGGGGGGCGGCCCATGGCTCACTTGGGAGAGTGTGGTGCTGAGAACACCAAGGCCACGGGTTCAGATCCCTGTCTAGGGATGGCCAGTTAGCTCACTTCGGAGAGTGTGGTGCTGACAACTCCAAATCAAGGGTTAAGGGCCGAGCCCGTGGCACCCTCGGGAGAGTGCAGCGCTGGGAGCGCAGCAGCGCTCCCACCGCAAGTTCGGATCCTATATAGGGATGACCCGTGCGCTCACTGGCTGAGTGGGCGGTGCAGCCAGTCTCAAAAAAAAAAAAAAAAGGGGGGGGGGGGCGGCCCATGGCTCACTTGGGAGAGTGTGGTGCTGAGAACACCAAGGCCACGGGTTCAGATCCCTGTCTAGGGATGGCCAGTTAGCTCACTTCGGAGAGTGTGGTGCTGACAACTCCAAATCAAGGGTTAAGGGCCGAGCCCGTGGCACCCTCGGGAGAGTGCAGCGCTGGGAGCGCAGCAGCGCTCCCACCGCAAGTTCGGATCCTATATAGGGATGACCCGTGCGCTCACTGGCTGAGTGGGCGGTGCAGCCAGTCTCAAAAAAAAAAAAAAAGGGTTAAGATCCCCTTACCGGTCATCTTTAAAAAACCAAACAAACAAAAAACACGAAGATGTTGAGGCTGTGTCTGGGCTCAAAGGTATCATGATTGATTAATAATGCCTTCCACAGGTACAGGATATGAAAGAGGTATTTTATATGCCTTTTAATTTCATCACATATTTTAATTTGGAAAGAGAGAGAACAGCAAAGCATTTTCAGCAAGCACCCAGAAGAATGGGAGTGGAACCAAAAGCATTCATTCATTAAATACTACTAGCTCGCCAAATGCCAGGCACTGAAATACTCTTAAGTCACAGAATGTTTGATAGGTTCAGTGGGAGTTTAAGGGAGTCACGAAAGACATTCTGGATGAGGTGACTGTTAAGCTAATTCCTTAAGGATAAGTGGAACTGAGCCAGGCAAAAGGAAGGGGATGGGCTAGAGAGCCAAGTGGTGCGATAGGCAGAGGGACTGATGTGGGTAAGTGGAGGCCAGTGATAGCATGGTACCATTTGTGAGGTTGCAAACCATTCAGAAAGGCTACAGCACAGATTTCAAGGTGGGTAATAGGGAGCCACTAAGGCTTCTAGGCAGGGAGTGGAAAGACAAAATAACATCTAAGTTTCCCCACCCCTGCCATCTAATTGTTAATTCTCTAGATCAGCTGCAAAAGTGACCTAAAAAATGAGAAAGTAGGCCTCACAGGAGTCAATCTTGCAAACTGATCAGTCATGTGAGATCCGATTACTGGATGAAGGTAGAGAAAGAAGATGGACAAAGGGCTGGTCTCTAAGTATATGCAGTAAAACCTGTACAACCCAAGAGATTCAGACTGGAGATACAGAGGAGGGGCTAGCCCAAGATGTGCATGCTCTAAACACGGCAAGTGGGAAACTGATCTGTAGCCCATACCCAGTGAAGCAAAAGACTAAGCCCAGCCAATTCTACCACAAACCACACCCAACAAAGGTTTAAGAAATGTGGCTGCTTTAATAGGTTGAGGGCCTCCACACCCTTCAGCCCAGCAATTTCACTTCTAAAAATGAGAAATAACCAAAGAGTGTGTGAAGAAACATATACAAGGATGTTCACTGCAGCCTTGTTTGCCAGAGCAAAAAATACGAGGCAATGTGAATATCCAACAGTACGGGATTGGTTAAATAGACAATGGCCACATTCAAACAATGGAATCCTAAACAGCTATGAAAAATGATGACAGAAATGGAAAGACAGTCATGCTATATTGTTAGCTGGAAAAGGAAGTTATACTTTTTTTTCCAAAGATAAATAGAAATGAGTGTGGAAAGAAAATACTATGTGAATGTGAGAGGATTAAGTGAACTAATCTTTATAGAGGACTTTTGCATAGTAAGTGCCCAATAAATGACAGAGAGATTTGCATATAACATTTGTTTTTGCTCCATTTCCCCTCAATCAACAGTCATCCTTGCAGAATTAAATACTTTTTAAAAACACAGCTTTAGCCCTTGGTCATATTTATATCTAGAGCAATGGTTCTTAATCGGGGTAATTTTTGCCTCCCTAGAGACACAGTATTTTAGATAATCACAACATGGGGAGACGGGGTGCTACCGGTATCCACTAGGTAGAGGCCGAGGATGCTGATAAACATCTTACAATGCACAGGACAGCCCTACCACAAAGAATGATCCAGCCCCAAATGCTGGCAGTGCCATGGTGGAAAAACCCTGGCTTGGAGGAAACTCACTGCAATGGCTTTCAGACTCCTTGCTTCCATCACCCCAGACCAGCTCCATTCAAGAGTCACACACACCACTCAGATCACTCAGGTGAGCAGATGCTCCCAAGATCTAGACAAACCCCTGATGGTGGATTTCAATCAACCACTGAGTCCTGGAGAAAAGCCACCAGTGGAAGAATCCTCCTAAAACTTGAGTCTTAAACCCTCAGGAGAAATTCCCTCCCCAACCCCCACCACCGAGAAGAACACCATGGTTTAAAATGAATTATCACTTTTTTTTTTAGAGTGCTAAGAATTATTCTCTTTGGTGAACACAAACAGCTCTGGTGGTTAATATGTTGTGGGCCAACCCCACTGAGGTTTCTGCATAAATGGTGCTTCTGTTAACACATGTGACACCCCACAATACAGGGATCACAGCAAAGACAAGGATCCTTTGAGACCAGTGAAAAGGAGGAGGAGATGCTCTTCAGCCCTGGCACTAGATCACTGCTGGCTCCAGTTACCACCTCCCCCTCTCCTCTGAAAGCAGACAGATAACAGCATCAAATAAAGATGCCCCCAAATGTACAACTGATCGGTAATCTCACTGAAGATAAGGGAAGAAAAGACTACAGAGCTTAACCTGGGGTTTCTCCACCTTGCAGGTGCTGACATTTGGTGCTGTATCATTATTTGTGGCAGAGGACTAGCCTGTGCTTTGTAGGATGTTTAGCAGCATCCCTGACCTCTATCCGAGAAGCCAGTATCAAGCCACTCCCTCCCAAGTTGTGACAAACAAAAAACGTCTCCAGATATTTCCAGATGTCCCCTGAGGGGCAAAATTGCCCTCAGTTGAGAACCACTGGCTTAAACAGATTCTAAATCCTTGTCCAGGGCAAGCTGTCTCTAATCATCAAATATTCATAAAACCAAAGAGGAAAAAATAAAATAAAACAAAACAAAACTCTTTCACAAAAATAACTTCTCAATGCTAAATCCAGTTAGCTCCTAAGTCCCTGCCTGGAGATGCAGTATTATCTCAAGACTGTGATACTGATAGTAAGAAAGTGTTGTACATTCAACAGTATTAACTGAGCACCTACTATGTAGCAGGCATTGCTCTGGGCACTGGGGACACAGCAGTGGATGTAAAAGACCAAGGCCCTGATCTCAGGTTGCTTATTCAGGTCTGAGAATCATATAAACCAGGCAGTTGCACACTGATTAATCATCTACTACAAGAAGGAACTAAAACTGGATCCAGGAACTTATGTGTGTGTGTGTGTATCTATATATATGTATAACCACTCCCCCACAGCTGAGATCTATTTGGCACTTACAAACTCAGTTCTTTACACACACCACCTCATTTACTCCTCACAGCTAGCCTAGGAGACCAGCACCCCCACTTCACAGATGGGAACACTGAGGCTCAAGAGGTGGAGAAGAACTGTGGACTCCACCTAACTACACCGCCCCCACCCCACCCCCACCCCCGGAGCTCACGGCACTCAGGAGACTACCACCAACAAGCCCTGATCACCCACTAGGGGCAAAGTGAGTGACTGCCCTGGATGCCAAATTTCTTCAGTTAGTCGGTCTTAAGGTTTTGCCTGTTTGTGGGTTTCAGCTGGACTCTGCCTTGGGGGCTGGTATCTTCCTGCAATGCCACCAAGTGCATCAGCAGGGCGGGGCACTGGGAGAGCCCACATGGAGAAGAAAGCAGAAGCTCAGGTTGCACCCTTTACCCAACCTGAAAAGCAAAGGGCAGGGGCAGATGGCACTGGCTTCTATTTCCCATTTTCCATCCAGGGGCTGGGCGGGGCTGGGCTGAAGGAGAGGAGGAAAAAGGGTCTGAAACTGACTTAGAGAACACCTTCCCAGTTCTCTCAGGACCTTCTTCAACACGACCTATGGGGGAAGGGTCTTCCTCTTTTAGAGCCCAAACTGAGGGAGGGACTCCTGCCCAGCACCCGGTGTCTGACATCATCCCACAAAGCAGCTCCCCCTTTCCTGACCCCTGTTCTAAATGGAGGGAAAACTTTAGGTGGCTTCCCCTAGAAACAGGCCCTGGAGTTTTACAACTCCATCTTCAAAATCCTCCTGCCTGTCCCGCCTCATCAGGCTTCCTCCCCTTGGAGGGGAGGGAGACAGAGTCTTTGATTTGGAATGGAGAAATTGTGAGGGAGAAAGGGTACCCCGAGAGAGAGAGGCTGGAGAATTTAAGGGAAAAAATAGGTTTATAAAATGGGAGAATTCATTTTAAGAGGGGAGCTGTGGGACATTCTAAAAGAAAAGAAGGGGTGAAGGACTTTGGGGGAGACGAAGGATTGGAAAATGCCTAGGGGAGATGGAACTTAGTAAGGGGTGTTTGGGAGAGATGGGTGATTGGGGCAGGGGAGGACTGGGGGACATCTGAGGGATGTGAGGAATGTGAGATGCCGGGGGAGATGGAGGATGTGACATGTGCATGGGAAAGAGGATTTGGGAGTGGTCGGGGGCAGGAATAATTTGGGGCGCTTGGAGGGAAAGGGGATCTCGGGTGCCTAGGGAAATAGGACTCGGGGTGCCTAGGGGAGAGATGACTTGGGGTTGCTCGGGAGGAGGATGCGGGTGCGCCTGGGAGCGATCTGGGGCAAGGCTGCGGGCCAGCTCCCCGCTGCACCCCGGCTCACCGAAGAAGGGCGGCAGGTGGGACACCGCCTCGAGGAAGGGCCCGGTCTCGATCTGCTTGTCCGCGGGCAGCGGCTTCAGCAGGTGCTCGGCCAGCAGCGCCATTTCGGGGTCGAGGCCCGCGGTGATGCCCCAGCCGGCGCCGCGGGCGTCCACGCCGCCC